AGACCGTCATTATGGCGAGTATAATAATTTAAAAACGAAGCTTCATCTTTTACCTAGAAAGACTTGAAGTATTTGGTATATATATATCAGAACAGAAGAACTGCTAAATCTGGTTGTTTAAAGTGACATACGACACAGTATAGAAGAAAGAATGTGCAAAGACAAATGGGAATCGAATAAACCAAAATGAAGAATTCTCATCTGATTGTATCGACCAGATATCCGAATAATTTCGAAATAATAGACATGTTCTATTATTTTTAAAATAGTTTAAACCAAGATATGAGTTATTATTAAATGCATAACATAGACATTGTTGAGGTGATGAAATATTACCCAATAGTTCAGTATAATTATTGTTATCATTTAATACTAAAATGCCATCACGTATGTACCTTATAGCAAAACAGTCAACGACACAACCTAAAACTACTACTGACAGTACTAGGCATCTCATCTTTATCGTTTCAAAAATAAAATCCTCATGTTTAATTTAAAACTATATTTTTTTCGGTTCTGTTCTGTTCTTCTATCCACTTTATATGTTTGTTTTGGTGCTTTTGTCGGAATAATTTATATACAGACCAACCTGAAAACATGATTCTCGGAGTCTCCAAATTCATAGTTAATTCCTATTTGTCTTTGCACATTCTTTCTTCTATACTGTGTCGTATGTCACTTTAAACAACCAGATTTAGCAGTTCTTCTGTTCTGATATAGATTCAAATCGGGACTATTTGCTGGCCAACGATCTTCGGTTATAAACGACGGAAAATGGTCTCGACACCATTTTTGAGTTAACTGATGCTTGTGGGCGCCCGCACCGTCTTGTTGAAACGTTCAGTCATCACCAAATACTTCATTTCCGTATGCCAGAGCCACCGGAAGTACTTCTTGTATATATCGAACGTGATCGACTGTCCCTTTATCGCCTTTTGGTTTTGGTTTCCGATCCAAAATCACTAACGGCGTTACGCCTTTTGAACATGCTCCCAACCAGACCATAACTTTTTGTGGAAATTGTTGCACTTGTTCTCTACCACCTTTTGTATAAGCTTGAGCACGATCTACTGCCCATATTCGATCGTTTTGAGAATTATAGACACCGTTGATGTCAAAAATCTTTTTATCCGAAAAAAGAATTTTCATGGTTTGTTCTTTCTGAAAATTGTTTCGAACCCAATTTGCAAACTTTTTTCTTTCGGCTTTGTGGCTGTCGGTGAGTTTTGGTTCGATTATTTTCTTGTATGGATGACATTTCAGATCGTTCTTGAGTATTCGTCCAACAGTTCTTCGTTAAATATTTAATTCACGCGACAATTTCCGAACCGACACGTTTTTTTTCCGTCTTAATAGACTTTTCACTTTTTGAATTGCTGCCGAAGTACGAACGACACGTGAACGACCAGGTGGGTACGATAGCTGGATGGTGCCGGTGTCCCGAATCATTTTGCACCACCGCTTGATTGTTGCCAAAGACAAACCACCGTTTAAATCACGAAATATTTTTGTCGGACCATCTCCTTTTTCGTATTTAGAAAATACTATTTTTTGTAAGTCTTGACTTTTCATTATCTGAAAATATTTTTAGACGTGTATGTCTAAACGTAAAATAGGTTTTTGCAGAGAATTGAATAACGAATCCTTTAAAAAAAAATTAAGTCTCTGCGGTGAAAGCAGGCCGATTTATTGAGAAAATATGGAGAGGCTCATTATTTATGCGCCACGCGTTACTTTCTAATGACATACTTTTGTGTCGACAGAATAGGGTTTTCATAGCTTTTGAGCGAGTTTTCCAGAAGCCTCATACCAAAAAGATTTGGCTTTTTTGCACTTTTATTGCATAAGCGCATGCATCTGCTGCACATGACCGCGCACACGTTCATTAGATCCGCCATGAACAAGAATCTGTAGAAAAATATCGACAAATTATTTAACACTCAAACAGTTTTTAAGTAAAACGCGTTTAACAGAATCAGAACTTACTTTGCGTTTTTCTTAAGACTATTTTTCAGCTTCAGGGCTTTCGCCATTCACAAAAATTCTCGGTAACGATACACCGGAGGAAGTTTTGCTTTTTTTTGATTCGCAGATAACATCTATAGGTAGGGGTTGACAGAATCCGATTTTTAAATTATGCTTCTATTTTGTTATTGAAATGAGGATTTCTAAGAAACCTTTTAAGAACTTTTCATATTTTAAAATTCTATTAACCACCAGAAATCAGTAAATGAAAAACTCAAAAATCGGGCTCTCATCAACTCCTAGGCATAGGTGTTTACTGCAAAACAAAACCGGTCCGAAAAAACGAGCAGAGCTTAGTATCAGATGATTACAATACCAGATGCAATATCCAAAAACAAACACTTTATTAAAAAACATAACAATTTTCGACTGATAACTGAAAAAACGACATAAATAATGAGTGTTTCGCAGAACGCCCGAAGCGAATTTTCTGAAACTGAGTGGACAGTGGAAACTACATTCGAAAAATTTTGACAACTCTCGACATTCGAACATCGCGTGACAGTCAATCGTCGATACAAGTAACGCTCCGATTAGCGCTGAAGCATTCTCTGCGAAACAAAAAGCTCAATAACTTAAAAGACCTTAAAACAAGGTATTTTTATATCACTAACGTTAGAATACTAATGTTTGCGGTAATGATTTCTTATTAAGGCCAATGGAACACTGCTACAAGCATGGCAACAGCACGTGATACACATACTGCAACCCTGCTTAATTCGAGCAAAGTTCTTGTCACTGGCGGTTCCAGATCGAGCGTTATTAGCAGTTTCGGATCCTCTGATGCTCTTGCTAGTTCTGAAATATATGATCCATCACCGAGCCAATGGAACCAAACTGCAAGCATGGCAACAGCACGTGATGTACATACTGCGACCTTGCTCAGTTCGGGGAAGGTTCTGATTACTGGTGGTTTCGAATCCTCTAGTGCTCTTGCTAGTTCTGAAATATATGATACATCGACTGGCCAATGGAACTATACTGCAAGCATGATAACTGCACGTTGTATACATACTGCGACCCTGCTCAATTCAGGCAAAGTTCTTGTCACTGGTGGTTCCCAATGGAGCTTTCCTAGCTCTGGTGGTTACGGATCGGTCTATATTCTTGCTAATTCTGAAATATATGATCCGTCAACAGGTCAATGGAAATCTGCCACAAGTATGGCAAAAGCACGTTATGCACATACTGCGACCCTGCTCAATTCGGGCAAGGTTCTGATTACTAGTGGTTCCGGATCCTCGGGTGCTCTTGCTAGTTTTGAACTGTATGATCTATCAACAAGTCAATGGAACACTGTCACAAGCATGGGAGCAGCACGTTATGGACATACTGCGACCCTGCTCAATTCGGGCAAGGTTCTGATTACTGGTGGTTCCGGATCCTCTGGTGCTCTTGCTAGTTCTGAACTATTTGATCCATCGACTGGCCAATGGAACACTACTGCAAGCATGGCAACAGCACGCTATGCACATACTGCAACCCTGCTCAATTCGGGCAAGGTTCTGATTACTGGTGGTTACGGATCCTCGGGCGCTCTAGCTAGTTCTGAACTATATGATCCATAGACAACCAATAGGAATCTACTACAGGCATATATTGCCTGCATAAAATTGTGTTCAAAATGGTCGGGAAGGTGTAATGAAACGAAGTGCAACGTCAACAGCAAACACTTTATTAGAAATATAACAGCTTTCGGTTGATAACTGAAATCATCGATATAGATTCAGCGAATCTAGAAAACTAAGTCTCAATACACAAGACCGCCAGACCTCTTGCCCAGAAGTTTTTGAAAAATGTTCGATCACTACGACATAGTAGTTTTGCAAACCCTAAGACATTTTTGTGGAACAAGCTAGCGATTCAGTCGACACACCGTTAGATCCGCTGAGCGTTCTTCAAACTAATGCAGAGCTTTTTCAGAAATTCTTTTTCTTTCTTGAGGTATCGAATTTCCATTGTAACACTGCGGTTTTCACCTAAAGTCGGGCAGATCATTTTGCAACAGGTTTTTCATTTCTTCATTTATGTTTTCTAAAACTATACTGCTGGATAGCCCCTGTAATCCTCTACAAACTGAGCTAGTTAGACAATCTAGATCTGCCAATTGGAAAACTCCGGTGCAATTTTGACATTATTGGCCAAAGTCCGCTGCGTTCTCGGCAATTCAAGTAGAGGATTTCTGGTAGTTTATGAGACTCCGATGCCATCTCCTGTGTTTTCGTCAATCTTGTTCAGCTCCACTCCATTAACATCTAATTCATTAATAATAGATTCACCACAACATAATGACATAAGACGTAAAGCGACATAAAATTATTTAGGAACAGCAAATAAGAAAAGGAAAGCATACGATGAACATCTACATAAATTAGCTGAACAATTCACGAGGTTGATAGAACAAATACGGATCCCAAAATTTTACCATGTATATGTTATAGCCAAAACTCAAATTCAGCGAAATTTGAAATTTGGCTAGCCAAAACTAACGATTCTCTGTGCAGGTCTAGACAAAAGAAGTCGGATTAAGATATAATATTTTATCATCATGCGCTTAGTTTCTTTGCTAAAGGGTAGAGATGTAGTGTAGCGCTAACTGTGTTTACTCTAGTCTTTACAAAATACTTATTCACTTAACCGCGTAAAGGTGGCATGATATCTAAGTATTTTTTTTAGTGTTTTTTGTACTCAAGTGAGTACTCCAATATGTACAGTGAGTAGCAGCAATATAACAATTATTAATTTTCTCCTGCAGAAAAAATAAGCATCATGAAACAAAAACACGTATATACAGTTTTCAGATTAGAATTGTTTAAATGTCAATCTATAGATAAGCGACAAAAAATCATAGACCAACACTACCGGCAAGAACAAAACAGAACTATATGTGTAAGATGAGTAAAGTGAAAAGAGAAAGAATACTAATTTTTCTGTGATTTTCATTTTGTATTTTGACATTTACTTCGTTTTGAATGGCATTTCGTAGAACAAGCAGCATTTGCTTTTCGACAAGGGCAATGTGTAGTTGCACATTGCGATTTACAATAATTGCGATCAATAACACTTTCGATTGAAAATTGGTTTGGTAACAAACCATATTGACAACATAAATGAAAAGTAAAGTCGTTGTCCTTTTTTTCTTTTGCTACAAGTATACATGGTAACAGTTTCGGATCTGTATTTGTTCTATCAACCTCGTGAATTGTTCAGCTAATTTATGTAAATGTTCATCGTATGCTTTCCTTTTCTTATTTGCTGTTCCTAAATAATTTTATGTCGCTTTACGTCTTATGTCATT